CACAGCTATTAGGTTCAAAAGAACAAATGGTTAGTCAAAAAGATGGGTTTTAAAAAGTATCTTTGAAGGAGAAGACAGACAGAGGCAGAGAGGTTGTATGGAGGGAATTCCAGAACTTAAAGTCAAAGCAACAGAAAATGCAAGTGCCAAAGATGAAGCGATTAAAATTGGGGATGTGCAGGAAGCCAGAATTGGAGAGTGCAAATACCTCAGAACTGTGACACTTGGAGGAGATTACAGAGAAAGGGAAAGGTGAGGCCATAGAGGGATCTGATAACAAGGATGAAAATTTTAAGATCAAGACATTACCTGAACAAGGAGCCAATGTAGGTCAGTGAGCATGGGGGTGATAGGAAATCGGAACTTAGTGTGACCAAATATAATTGATTGCAATGAGTCTTTGACTGTTAATTTGAATGTCACCAAGGGCATTTCACTGTGTTGATGGTCGAAGAAAGGACCAGAAATGATGAAAATTAGAACAAGGCGGCTCTGAAAATGTGGTGAATGATCAAATCACTCGAGAGGTTTTATGTTCTTTCGAGGACAATGAGAGAAAGTGAAGAGACACATCAATCCATGTGCTTGAGGTTATATAAAACAAACAAAGGAGAAACTGTGCCATTGTCAGACATTGCATGTAATTTGATTAATTATAAACATGGTTGATTTAAGTGGCAGGGGAAAATAGATGAAATATTTCATGGATGATTGGGTGGTGGGCAAAAATAGCCATTCGATAAATTAGGCATAGAGTGGGCTGCTGTGGTGCAGTGGTAGTGTCCCCGCCTCTCAGCCTGGGTTCAAGTCCCACCTGCTCGAAAGGTGTGTGAAAATATCTCTGGACGGATTGATTAAAGGAGAAGCTGGGCAGTCGGTAACAAAGGGACAGAGATTTAAGGTAATTAGCAAAAGAATGTAATGTTTTGTTTACACAATGAAAATTGCTGTGATCGGCAATGCATGGTCTGAAGGGGTAATGGAAGCAAATTCAGTCGTGCTTTTCAATAGGGACTGCGATGAATTCATAGAAAGGGAAGATTTGCACAGCCATGAGCAAGGGAAATGGGAATCATTGAAACATGCTTTCAAAGAGCTGGCACAGCCACAATGGGATAAATGGCCACTCTCTATGCAGTAACATATTGTAGTTCAAATGACAGTGCTAATCCCTGGAGAGATTCACAGGTCATGTGAAGTGGCAGTGTATGACTGATGTCCAGTCAAATTGTTCAACAGATTGGCAAGGATCCAAAAAGAGATAATCAATGTTTTCAAAGTTTGCATGTTTTAGCTGGGAGAATGTTTGTGCCATTTGGATGGAGATTAGATCTTTTGACAGGTGATACAAAACCAAAACTCCAAATGATATGTCTGCATAGAGGAATGGCAATGGCTAACACAAGCAAGAAAGTAAGGCCTTGCAGCACATCAATTGTTGATCTGATAGGCTTCCATCTGATAAAGGAAGCAACAGAACTAGTATGTCTTCCACACAGGTTTATTCACAATACCAACCCTCTAACCCCACCACACTGTATGTGTTCAGACTATTTTTCCTTTCCACACACTATCTGCTTCCAGATGGAAACAGGTTTTAAACATGCCTAGAAAGATTGGTTAGAAATATCTGGACCGTGCCTCAAAACTTTCTTATCAGTTGCTCTTAATTACAACTGGAGCATGCAACCATACACACTCAATTGGCACTCAATTTCCAACATTAGCAACGATATCGGGTGCCAGAAGAAGGTGATATATATGGTTGGGATATATATGGACAAAGCATAAAATTGGTCAACTCCTCTAATTGGTCAACAATTACACATAATGCTTATGAGTGTGACCATCACCAATGAGCTCTGTGCGAGTCTTAAAAATAGCTGAGAGTCTGACTGATTCAACATTTTATTCCTTCCTTCAGTCAATGAACCTACCATTAAATTGGCAAGACACTGTACATGCTTGTTCATTATTGCTTAAATAACACATGCCAAGAATAGTTTAGGAATGAGAGATAGCCAAAATGCCAAGTTGTAATTTAATACACCATTCTTCATTGTTACAGATATTATCAGTCATGGAAAATCAGTTTTAGAAAATAAAAGGTCCCATTTGTCTCCTTTGACTAAGCCAGAGACCTCTGTAGATATCTACCCTCAGCAATTGTTGGACACATCCTGAAACAGATTTATTTTTGTTCCACATAAATATTCTGATGGCCTCTTCAATCAAAAGACTGATTATTAATTTGGCTCATTCCATGTGTGATAAATATAGCACAACATGCAAAGAACTCTTAACCAGGGTGTCCAGTATGCTACTGAACTGTGCCAGCAATGAACACCATCTCTCGCTTACATCTTCCAACAGGTAGTCACACAGAGGTTGTAATTGTAAATGCTGGAACTGTTTCAACTTTAGTGCCTTAAAAGAGATACGTGGGAGCCCCCAGTGGAAGGTCCAGTATGTGATCTGGAGCCCTGTCTGTTCAGGATCTGAAGATTCTTTAGTCCTTGCTGATGAGTTGAGATGTTCTGAGGAGGAGCTTCCTCTTCCTACACACATTTACGCCATGCCCCCTCAGAGTCTGGAACAGAACTCCCAGCAGTGCCCATGCAGTTCCTACGGGTTCATTGACATTTCAATGGAAAGATTTGCGACTGATCCCAAATGATTCATGGGGTCAGCACCAGAGGTCACAGGTATTTACCCTGGATATTACAGCTACAGACCTAGAACCCCATTAAGTTTTAAAGTCTAAATGATGGTGAGCAATTTTAGTGCCCTGTTTTAAATTAATCCCCTCACACAGAAAATAAGGAGTATGTTGAGAAAACATTCAGCCCCTTAAAACTCAATAAGATGGAGGCTGACTTTTGATCTCAACTTCAATGTCTCAACAAATCTTTATGTCCCAAAACACACGAATCCCTGTTTTGAAAATGCTCAATGACTGAGAATCCATAAACCCCCCATGGTAGTAAATTCTAAAGATGCAAAACCTTCTGTGCATTGAAATATCTACTCTCCTCCTACATTCCTTTTCACTTTGCGTGTTGTTGTGTGGATCTCTGAGGTCTGTATTGAGGTAGTGACTTACAAAATCAGAAATCAATGGGCATGAACACCGATAGGCGTATGGGTACTCTCCTCAGTCCTAAATCATCTACCGCTTCTCCTAAGACAATGAACCCCTTGTTCAATAATGGGAAAATCATCCTCTCAGCATCTACCTTGTCAAATTCACTGAAAACTTAACCTGTCTCATTGAGGTTGTCTCTCATTCTTACAAGCGGCTACCAAATTTTCATTAGGCAACGCAGATTGCCAATTAAGGCATGTCATTGCTTCTTAAGAGCTTTGTTAATGGCCCAGTTTGCCTCATTAATATTCAGCTTTCTATCTTACCAAATGTGACATGTAAGCTATATATTGAGAAAACTCAACATGGAAACGAGAACAGCTACCTGGCGCCTTTAGCTCGCCACTAGCTTTGAATGACTTCCATGTTGGACTCCGGGCACCAACATCTCAGGGCATGCTCCATGGGCACTGACAACGCACATCCCACATCCATGGACATTGGCATCCAATATATGCCAGCCTCTAAGAATCCTCCTGGTACATCCCCAATCCACTTTTTGGACTTATCCCCCTCAGCCAGAGATTTAGCACAAATACAAGGCCAGAAACTTATCAGGGTTGTCAGCAAGCCTCAGTCGTCAAGGGGGATAGCCTTAGCTGAGGAGGTCCTGGACACAATATGTCAAGGACAGCCTCCTATACCGGTCCAGAGGTTTGGACATGGTGAATCAGCCTCCTGGCAGAGCAGAGAAAGTAGCTGACTGCTAAGCATTCCTCCAAATGACTGAATCACATGGCAATCTCAAAAAGGCAGGCTGGTGTGGTCTAGTCTCAGGGCCTCCATTGCTGGTTGTGGGGAAAGAGAGAGTTCACCCTCTGCATCACTCCATCTACCAGGACCTCCAGGTTCCTGCCCACATGCCAATTTACCCTTTCTGCCATGTCCAGAGCAAATATCAGGAACCATAGAGGACAGCTCCATTTTGGCAGCATTGTCTGGTGCGCAACAGGCCTTTAAAGATGGTGTGGGCCAAGGGATGCCGGTGTATTCCCGGATGCACTCTGAAACGTGAGTTGTCATGGTAAGATGCAGCCAGAAATTGGCCGTGATGATTGCCATGAGGGTGTGGTAGGTAATTAATGTGGTGGGTTTGGTAAGATAAAGTGAAAGAACGCTCTAGGCCTTAAGGCAAGAAACACTTCAAAAAACTCACATAACTCAGGCTTAACCAATGAAACAAAACATTCAGTCCCTCATCTCTCTATCTCCGTTTGTGTGCACTTTCTCTCTTGATCTCAGTCAGTCTGTTTATCAATCTGCCTCTCTCCATATATCCCTATCTATGTTTGTCCCTCTCTCCATCCTTCTTACTGTCAATCAATCACCCTTTCTTTCTGTCTCTCCAATTCAACCTCTCTTTCCACCCCTCTCCGCATCTTTCTCTCGACATTCTGCCACAATCACCCCCACCTCCCCCCTCCAACCCCATCCAACTTCCAACTGTTTCTTTATCCCTTTCACTCTGGGAATTCATGTATCAATTTTTGTGCTCTGTCTCTTTTTATTTATTCGTCTCTCTCTCTCTCTCCCTGCTTCCACCAACCCCCAATATCATTTTCTGTCTCCTATCTCGGTTCCTTTAAGTGAAATGAAATGAATCTTCATCCTGTTCTAATAGCAAGACCTTAGCACAAACCAACCTCAACTCAAAGATCTGGATCATTTGTGTGCATTTAAAGAACACATTGACAGAACCATCCAATGAATTATTACTGGAATTTAATCTTCTTGTTCTGCAATGAAATTTCGTTTAGTTCTTTATTATAAACAGGTAATTATCACAAAGGTTCATTATTCAACTGAGAATAAGCAAAGTTTGATCATGCAAACCAAAGCACAGAGAGAGACTAACCTGTGAGCTACTCCTGTGGTAAGCTGGATATGGCAGTGGAGAAGAAAGGCTGTCGTGTGTTAGGGTTGGATATTGACTCTGAATGGGAAGAGGGGGTTGATTGCTGTAACTACCATAGTTATACCCTCCTGTGTACCTAGAAAAAACAGGATGCCAGAATGATCTGCACCATTGAAAGAACTTGTATGAAAAGCTTCGGTTAAATTTTATCATTTGTTGGTGATAACCAGAAATGTCATATTGTATGGCAGCTCATCAAGTGAAATGCTGGGTCTTCATTCAGTCAGAAATACACGAAAGACAAATGTAAAGAAAAATATTGAAGTTCACATCATGGGGTTGTGAGTTCGCACATGAATACATGTTGGCAAATTGAGGATGTAACTTTATTTTAATACCCATTCCATTTCACCTGCCCGTCCCCAGTGGTAATATCAGGGAGGTAAAAGAATGAGTTCTATCGAAATTTTTTTTTTATTCATTTGTGGGATGTTGGCATCACTGGCTGGCCAGCATTTATTGCCTGTCCCTAGCTGCCCTTGAGAAAAGGTGGTGGTGAGCTGCCTTCTTGAACCGCTGCAGTCCACCTGCTCTGGGTGACCTGCAATGCCATTAGGAAGGGAATTCCAGAATTTGGACCCAGTGACAGTGAAGGAACGGTGATATGTTTCCAAGTCAGGATGGTGAGTGGCTTGGAGGGGAACTTGAAGGTGGTGGTGTTCCCATATATCTGCTGCCCTTGTCCTTCTAGATGGAAGTAGTCGTGGGTTGGAAAGGTACTCTACAAGTATCTTTGGTGAATTTCTGCGGTGCATCTTGTAGACAGTATACACTGCTGCTACTGAACGTCAGTGATGGAAGGAGTGGATGCTTGTGGATGTGGTACCAATCAAATGGGCTGCTTTGTCCTGGATGGTGTCAAGCTTCTTAAAGTTGTTGGAGCTGCACCCATCCAGGCAAGTGAGGAGTATTCCATCAGTCCTGACATGTGCCTTGTAGAAGATGGACAGACTCTGGGGAGTTGGGAGGTGAGATACCGCAGTATTCTTAGCCTCTGACCTGCTCTTGTAGCCACTATGTTTATGTGGTGAGGCCAGTCAAGCTTCTGGTCAGTGGTAACCACCCAGGATGTTGAAAGTGGGGGAGTCAGTGATTGTGATCCCATTGAATGTCAAGGGGCAATGGTTAGATTGTTTCTTATTGGTGATGGTCATAGCCTGGCAATTGTGTGGCAGGAATGTTACTTGCCACTTGTCAGCCCAAGCCTGGATATTGTCCAGATCTTGTTGCATTTGAACTTGGACTGCTTCAGTGTCTGAGGAGTCGCAAATGGTGATGAACATTGTGCTATCATCAGCAATCATTCACACTTTTGACCTTATAATGGAGGGAAGGTCATTGATGAAGTAGCTGAAGATGATTGGGACTAGGATGTTGCCCTGAGAAACTCCTGCAGAAATGTCCTGGAGCTGAGATGACTGACCTCCAACCACCACGACCATCTTACTATGTGGCAGATATGACTCCAACCAGTGGAAAGTTTGAAATGAAGCACTTATCCTGCTAGGTGGTAGAGGTCGTGGGTTTCAGAGGTGCTATTGAAGGAACCTTAATGAGTCACCTCAGTGCCTGTTATTGATGGTACACACTGCTGTTGCTTCAGTTGTGAAGGGAATAAATATTGAAGATGGTGGTGTAGTGAGCTGCTTCATCCTGGATGGCGCCAACCTTCTTGATTGTTATTGGAGGTGCATAGCCCTCTCAGTACCAAATATGTGCAGTTAATGGCACCTGCCCGTGGATGAGGCCAGCACTGACCCCATTATGGGGGACAAAGTGAATCTGTGCGACTTTGCTCAGGTCACCCATCGCTGTTTGGAAGGAGCCAGTTGCATGGAGGTTCAGGGCCACAGTGTGCTTCACAGCCACTAGGGGGCAGATGGCCTCACACTCCCATGGAAAACTCTGGGCTTCTTGTGCACCCTACACAATGTGAGGGGCCCTTTGGCTGTGACCTTTCCCTAAACTGGGTGCTCCTCATCCACTGCACTGGCCTGCTGCTACTCCTGGGTTGACTGTTGGCCCTGGTGCTCCTACATCCATCTATGTCTTCTTCAGTTGGTAGCTGGAGTGATGAATATCCCACCATCACTCTCAGTGGAAAGGATTGAAATTGGAGGCCTTGATGTCAAGGGCAGTCACTCTCTCCTCACCTCTGGAATTCAGTTCTTTTGCACATGTTTTCACCAAGGTCAGGAGGTAATGAAGTCAGGAGCTGAGTGACCCAGAGACATTTCAGTATCCAGTACCTTCAGTCATTTTTTGATATCACAAAGAGTAAACCAAGTTGACTGAAGACTGGCATTTGCCATGATGGGGATCTCAGGAGGTGGCCATTGATAGATCATCTACTCAACACTTCTGGCTGAAGATTATTGCAATGCTTTCAGCCTTGTTTTTTTGCACTGTTGTGCTTAGCTCTGGAACCAACTCCTCCTCCACTGAGTTGTTTAATTGCCCACCAATATTCACATTGGATGTGGCAGGACTTGCAGAGCTTAGATCTGATCCATTGGTTGTGGGATCACTAAGCTCCATCTATCACTTGCTGTTTATGCTGTTTGGCATGCAAGTAGTCCATTTGGTTGCTTCACCAGGTTGACACCTCATTTTTAGGGGATGCCTGGTGCTGCTCCTCGCAGGCTATCCTGCACTCTCCATTGAACCAGCCCTGATAGTAATGGTTGAGTGGGGGATATGGCAAGCCATGAAGTTGCAGATTCTGTCGGAGTACAATTCATCTGCTGATGGCCCCCAGGATCTCATGGATGCCCAGTTGTTAGATCAGTTCACAGTCTATCCTATTTGGTAGGGGATAGTGCCAAGATGATGGAGGGCTTTCTGGATGTGCAGACGGTCCTCTGTAGGAACACAAACCTTGAGAGTAGCCCACTCAATTTATATGTTGCTCATTGCCAAATGCCTGCTCTGGTCACTTGTTTTACCAGTGAACAAGGACAGTGCAGGGCTACTACAGAGCCAGAGTTGTGTACATGAGTCTGTGACTTCAGCAAAGAAAGGAAGGTCACTGGAGATAAATTGTCAAAAGTCTGCTGATAAAATTGTCCCTTATCCATCAACTATCGTAATTTCAGTTTCTTTGTGATTTTAGCACAAGTTTTAACTTTCATGAATTCCTCAGAATTTTCAGCTGCAGGCCTACTGTCTACTTCATGGCCTGACTGAAGATAGGACAGAATGTGTATATGGCTTCTATACTGTTGAAGCATTCAGTGAAAATGCACACAGATGTACCAGTAGCAAAGAGTGAGTGCACGGGGATACCAGTGTATATAGGTATACAGGTTTGTCAGTAGAGGAAACCACAAATGTAGGAAGGTACACAGGTATTACAGGAGAGGGGCGGTGGGTAGGCGGCTGTGACAGGAGAGGGAGGATGCTATGATATTTGGAGAAAAACACATTACATACATGCTTTCAACCAAATTCTCATGTTGAGTTATGGACCTGCTCCATTACGTTAAGTAAACCGACCAACGCAGGAGCTAAATTGTATAAACAAGTGGCAGCACATAAGACACCTACCCATGTTCCTCTCTGTGTGGGTAGACTGGCATCCGGTGAGTTGAGGTTGCTGTAGGCACATTATTGCTTCTCATACAGGGTAGCTGTTGTGGGCTATCGGGAGGGGCAGAGCCTGTCGTAACTGTATATGTCAGAGACCATGTATATGATTGAACTGCTCCTGGTAAAATAAAGATCTGTAAACATCTAGGACAACATACTAAACCATTATATATTTCCTTAAATTGAATGTAATCTTAATGAGAAAAAGACATTTTAAATGAGGCACATTATCATAGTCATATTGAAAGAATACCTTTAAAATAACCTGCTCAAGATATTTAGAATTTCCTTGGCAATGAATTATAGTTTGGAAAATTTAGTAGTTTGCAACAATTTAATTGAAGATTATTTAAATGCAAATGGCCAAAAGAGGGAATTTTATTTTTGTAGCCTAGATTGTATTCTAGTTAACAAGATAACAACTTGGTCAAAAATAAGGCAGAGTGTTAGGAAAAAGAAGCTTTTTCTTTTAAAATATCTTATTGCTTCCTTCCGTTCACCTCTCAAGGGCCCTCAGATCCTTCCGAAAGTGTGGGGGTCAGAACTGGGTGCAATACACTGGTCAGGGCCTAACCAGAGCTTCACCAAGGTTCAGCACAACCTCATTGCTTTTGTACTGAATGCCTCTATTTACAAAGCCAAAGTTCAGCATCTCATATGCTTCGCTAACCACTCTCTCAATATGTTCTGGCACATACAAAGGTCAATGCACATGCCACCCCAAGGAATCTTTGTTCCCATACACTCTTTAGAACATCTATTAAGCCCATATTGCCTCTCCCTGTCGCTTCTCCCAAAATACAGCATTTCACGCTTCTGTATTAAACAACTTCTGCCCCTTCTCTGAGTCTACCTGAATAACTAGAGAGGTGCTGGTATAATGGTAATGTCACTCGACCTAGTAATCCAGAGTATGATACTAGGTGGTATAGAGTAGGATATTCTGCGGGTGTGCGTTCAAATCTTGCCATGGTAGATGATGAAATTTGAATTGAATAAAAATGTGGAATTAAAAAAATGCCAGTCTAACCATTGTTCATTGTCATATACAAAGATCTGGTTCACTTCCATCCTTCAGGGAAGGGAAATCCTTTTGTAGTCTGGCCTACATATTATACCAGATGCACAGCTTTAGAATTGACTCTGAAATGGCCTAGCAAGTCATTCACTTCAAGGGCAATGAGGAATGGACAATAAATACTGGCCAAAGCAGTGACATCCATACCCTGTATTGTTGCCTTAACTCATCACTACTTGCCACTCTGCTAAGTTTGTAATTCTGTATCTAGGTCTCCCCTACGTAACATGCTGTGGGAACACTTTCAACTGCAACAGCTCTGAAATACCCATCACCGCCTCAAGGGAAGCCTGGGATCCATGGGACATAGAGTCATAGAGTCATAAAGTCATACAGCACGGAAACAGACCCTTCAATCCATCCAATCTATGCCAAACATAATTCCAAACTAAACTAGTCCTACCTGCCTGCTCCTGACCCATATCCCTCCAAACCCTTCCTATTCACGTACTTATCCAAATGTCTCTTAAACATTGTAATTGTACCCACATCCACAACTTTCTCAGGAAGTTCATTCCACACGCGAACCACCCACTGTGTAAAATATTTGGCCCGCGTGACTTTTTTAAAATCTCTCTCCTCTCACCTTATAAATGTTCCCCCTAGTCTTGAAAGCCCCCATTCTAGGGAAACAACAACTACTGTTAACCCTATCTATACCCCTCACACAGCAGTGAATGAGGGCAAATGGCATATTGAAGCTGGTACTTGACTCATGTGTGACTTTGCCAGGGATTTCCATCTATCAATGAGGTCTGGGTTGGCTCTGCATTTTGCGAGTCCTGAAGGAATGTGAGGAGTGTGGGTGCAGATGTGAGCTGATTAAAAAGTTATTCTCCCATACAGCAACCCAGTGTCCTACATCATTTAAAACCCCCTAATCCTGACTTCTTACCCTCTCACAACTTCCCCTACCCACCTGCAATGCCACCCTATATTCCCTCTGGTCATCTATGCCACTCTTTGCTCTCTCAAATTGCCCCTGTGACGTCCATGACCCCCAACATATCCGCATATAGTGCATACTAGGGGAGTGGCTATGTAGAGTCCTCAGGATCCATGCAATTACAATGGAGATTATTTTAACATTATTGGAAAAATTAAACCTGTATCAATCTAAAAAATCATGAATTCAAACACTTGATATTGAAAAAGATAAAAATCTATATTCCAGGTGTAAAATGGCTGCAGCTGTCGTGATGAAGTCTTTCAGCTGTCCTGCCTGAAATTTTCAAAAGAGAATAGTGTGTTCCATTTCTATTTCAAAGCCGAGTGCCTCTGAATCAATGGAGAGGAGCAGGGTTTTTTTCTTCAAATTTCAAAGGCGGGGATCTTTTAACAGCCAAAGCTGTCAGTCAATTTAAATCACAGCACAAAACATGACATCAGAGGTCAACAGAAGGGTTGTTTTTGATTTTTTAATGCACGATCTCACTTTTACCAATGAAGAAGGTACTTTAATGCATGTGAGCACTTTCGAAATAGTGGTCAATGCAATGTATTTTTGCAAGATAGAGCCTTATGATGAATCACTATGCGACACATCTATGTTACATCGAGTAATGAAATTGGAAGTTTGCAAAGTATTACATTAGCCTTTCAGAATGCTCCGTTCTTCCGATACCTCCAACACCCCCTGCAGTGGTCAGAAACTCTCCTAGGAGGTGTATTCTCTTTAAGGTTTCTAAAACCAAGACCAGTGCATGAAAAGTGCATGGAGGAAGAAATACAATTTCCCTGCGGTGCTCACATGGAGACCCAGAAGAGATACATGTCTCTTGCGTACCCAGCGCCTTCCCAACCTGTGAAAAGGCCACACAAAAATAGATAGGAGTCTGGATGATGGGAAAATTGCTTCTCTTCCCAAAGAAAATAAAGTTTAGTGTTTCTTTCTTTTTATTCATTCACAGGATGAGAATGTTGCTGGCTAGGCCAGCATTTGTTGCCCATCCACAAGACTCAACCACATTGCTGTTGATCTGGAGTCACATGTAGGCCAGACCAGGTAAGGATGCAGTTTACTTCCCTAAACGACATTAGTGAACCAGATGGGTTTTTCCCAACAGTTGACAATTGATTCATGGTCATCATTAGACTCTAAAATCCAGATATCCATTGAATTCAAATTCCACCATCTGCGGGATTCCATCCCAGGTCCCCAGAACATTACTTGGGTCTCTGGATTAGCAATAATACCATTGCTTCCACTTTCACAAATTGATTCATTGGGGGCAGGTATTCAGCTCATTTTTCCTTCTGTTCATTAAACCATCCCTTTGTTGCCCTGACTAAGGTGCAGATGAGGGCCTGCAGCATTACTGTGCTCACCTGGTGCTGTTAATCCAGAGTATTCGGGTGACTGGCTGCTGACTGGTGAGGCCGGTTGGATTTCAGCAGTGACAGATTTTGCAGGAGAGAAAGGGCCAGGGGATTGCGTCGGAGGGCTGTGATCTGACTGTCCCAGCTCTTCCCTTCTGTCTCCTGCACATTGACGTAAAGATCAAAGTGTCCATCAGTGAATAGTCAGTACCGATGGTTACCCATTAACATTAACTTCTCGCCACAATTAATTTCAGTGCCACAACCACATGGTCATGGTCCGGTGTGCTACACTAACTGCAACAGCAGTGACTAAAGGATATGTAAACAGGAACTGTGAATGACAACAACAACTTGCATTTATATTTAGCTTTGCAAAATATCCCAAATAGCTTCGCAACAGTGTTATAATGTGGGAAAACGTGAGATTGTCCACTTTGAGAGGAGGAATAGAAAAGCAGAAACTTATTTAGATGGAGAGAGGCTGCAGAATGTTGCAGTTCAGAGGGATCTGGGTGTCCTTGTATTTGAACCATGAACGGTTAGCAGGCAGGAATAGGAAGGAAGATAAATGGAAGGTTCCTCCATTGTATGGAGGAAAGTCTTGCTGTAATTGTACAGGGCATTGTGAACCACATCTTGAGTACAGTGCAGTTTTGGTCTCCCTCCTTAAGGAGGAATATATTTGCATTGGAACTATTTCAGAGGAGGTTCAGGGATTTGTCCTAGGAAAGATTGAACAGGTTGGGCCTATTCACATTGAAATTTCGAAGACTAAAAGGTGACCTTTTTGGAACATACAAGATTCTGGGGGGATTTGACAGGGTGATACTGAGAGGATATTTCCTCTCATGGGGTAATATAGAACCAGGGGGTGTCACCATTTAAAAAAATAATGGATGTCCCATTTAAAATGGGGATAAAGGAGGGATTTCTTCTCTCCGATGGCGATAGTCTGGAATTCTCTTCTCCAGCGACCAGTGGAGGCTGAGTCATTGAATATATTCAGGGCCAGGTTAGAAAGATTTTTGATTGTTAAGGGAGTCAAGATTTACGATGGCCACATAAGAAAGTCTTTAGTCATTAGTCATGATTTTATTGACTAGTGGAGTAGGATGAAGGGGCCGAATGGCCTATTCTTACTCCTATTTCTTATTGGTCAAATGTAACTTGTCAGAAAGCTACTTTGGGAGATAAATGGCTGACACCTTTGTCAAAGAAGCAAGTTTTAAGGAGAGACTTAGAATTCTAGAATCACTGAATGATACAGGTTCAGTCTCTCAAGCCTTTGAAAAATTATTTAATTAGTTCCCACACTATCCTGCCTAACTGGAAATGGGGTTTCTCTATCTGCGCACTGTGAAATAATTTAACATAGTTGCCTGCCTCTGTTTAATTTTCTCTCAACCTTCTCTGCAGTAGGGAGAACAAGCCTGTAACCTCTTCAAATTAATGGAAATCCTTCATTCTCAGCATCATTCTGGTAAATCTCTTCCAAATCCTCTTCAAGGTCTTGACCTCTGTCCTAAAGTACAGTGCCCAGAATTGTACACAATACTCCAGCTGAGGTTGGATCATTGGTTTGGCATCACTACCTTGTGTTTGTACTTACTGCTTCTGTTAATGAAACTAAGCATCTGTTGCACAAGGGTACAAGAGTCTGAAGATGTTAATACCGTGGAGTGCCTTGAGCACCAACTACTGTGACAATGCCATTTGGACATATGAGCAGAATGCTTTAAGATGTCGAGGGAGTGTAATTGAACATCCTGGATCTCCTCAACATCTTTGTAACAAGGTCCGTCTTATCAATGTGACTGCAACCAGCTGCTAACGTGCAATAAATTACTCCTTTGTCCAAAATTGCAAAGGGCACTCGTCTAGTTAGGGGAAGAAATGATTTTCCTTGACACCACACTAGACCAAGGAGTCCTTGTAGATCCCCATACATAAAGAGAATGGTTGCAGCAAACTATCCTATGGTGAGGTGCAAACTGAACAAATAACAGGATCCCATACAGGCATTCCCTGGGGGTTGCTAACGATTCCTGTTCTGGAGTCGATCACGAGTCAATTTGTACAGTGCAGGACAATTTAAACCTGAGGAAGGGTCACTCAACTTGAAACATTAACTCTTATTTCTCTCCACAGATGCTGCCAGACCTGCTGAGCTTTTCCAGCAATTTCTGTTTTTGTTCCTGATTTACAGCATCTGCAGTTCTTTCAGTTTTTATGCAATTTAAAGGGAGCCATTTTTAAGTGCAGGAAATGTTCACATGTTGGGTCTATAAAGTTACATCCCTGTATGAGATCACATTCGTAAATACATGTGTTTGTAACTTGGACGTTCGTAAATCGGGAACCCCCCGTATACATTTTAACCTCTTTCTCAACTTGTCTTTAAACCTTCAAAACTTTGTGTACTCAAATCCCCACACGAGTTGCTGCACTCCCTTTTTTAATATTGCACTATTGAGTTCACATTTCCTCTCCTCACTGTCCTGACCAAAATGGATAATTTCACATGCCTCTGCATTAAATTTTATCTCTGTCTGCCTTCTCTGTCTTTATCCTTCTGTATGGTTCTCCTCACTGTTCACTATACTTCCATGCGGGGGTTAAGTTTTGGAATTAAGTTTTGCAACTTATGTCCTATACAGCCAAGTTCAGAACATTAATAGGAGGTGGAGAGGTTCAGACGGGAAATTCCAGAACTTGGGGCCCAGGCAGCTAAAGGACAGTGATAAAGCAGTGTGCATGAAAACTTGTACTAATATGCAGTTTTTACCTGAGCTGCCTTCTCCTTTCATTGCTCTCATTAGTTCATTTGCTCTCTCCTGACAGTGCAGAGATTCCAGGAGATAAAGTACGTAGTCATCAAATGTCAGGTGGATTAGGTGAAAGGAGCCTGGAACAAATTAAAGACATTTACAGAAACATTTATGATGCACCAACATTTAACTTCTGGTGTTTATCACAAGGGGAATCAGGTATTAAAGTAGGAAACTCTTGTTAGAGCTGTGGAGTACCTTAGTTAAAATGCATATGGAGCACTGTATGGTTTTATTATATCGTCTTGTGTGGTTTGGTCTCATACTTTGTTTTATAATACTTCTGTGAACTTTGAGATGCTTCATTATGATAAAGGTGCTGTATAAATGTGAGTTGTTGTTGTGTCATACCAGAAAGGAATCCACATAGGTCCCACTGATTTCCTTGAATCATATTGGGCTGTTGGGGAGCAACTCTGTCACCAAAATGCACACCCACTTGCAGTTATAAAGTGCTTTTGACATTGTAAGACACCCAACGGCACTTCGTATGAGCGATGATCAAATACATCAAGTGACATAAAAAGATATTAGGAAATGTGACCAAAATTGTGTCTGAAAGGAGCAGAGAGGAGGAAAGGTCTAGGGAGGGACTTCTTGAGGTTAGGGACTGGGCAGCCAAACGCTCAGCTGCTGGTAGCAGAGCAATGTGGAAATTAGAGTGTGCAGAACAACTGATTCAGAGGATTGCAGAGATCGCAGGGAGTTGGAGGACTGGAGGTGGTGATGGAGGTAATGGGCAGTAGGGGACAGGTATGTCTATGAGACCACTGGGTGATTTGAACCTGAGAATGAGAGCTTGGTAATCATTGGGCTGTTACAGTATAGGGGGATGATGTCAGTCAGAGAGAACAGAGTGGGTGATAGTGAATGGATCTTGGTGCCAATTAGTATTTGGAGAGGAGAGTTTTGTATGAGCTAGAATTTATGGAGAGTTTGGAGAAATACAATTGTACTATTGGCTTGCCATAGTCAGGTGACCTCTATCTCTGCTCCGAATACCTTTGGTGTTCATTCTATGGGAGGCATTATACACACCACTTGAAAGATGGTGTCAGAGTGGAGCAGCTGAAATTGAGTGGATTTTTAAGAGCTCTAGGGAGCCAGCTACTGAAAGAAACAAGGAAGGAGTAAAAAAAAGTTAGTGAACTTCCCAGAGTGGAAATCGCTATGAAAGATTTGCTGCTCTATGGACCTGGAGACTCAATGGAAGAATCCATGACAGAACACGACCAGAACCTAGTGCAGAACTTGCCAAATGAATCTGAACAAGAAAAATGAAATTGAAGATGTCTGATGTCAAGTCCCTTCACCCACAAAGTGGGAGCTGTGACAGAGATACAACAAATCAACAGATGTGAAAGTGGCACAATAATTTGTTAGATTTGTGAACTATTTAGAAAAGTTCTTGCCTAATTTATCATCAGTGTGTGAGTTTCTATGCAAGCTACTAAATGTACAGCAGTATCGAGGTACAGACTAAGAGTAACTTTCACTAGAATCAAACAACTAATGATGACAGCTAAAGGTAAAATGGCCAGGGTCCAAACTCCAGTACTGAGGTATTGCCATGTCAGTGAAGAAGTCTTTTATGGTGTGACGTAATCGATAGAGCATCCCTTATGCAACAAAAATAACCAGTTGCATTTGAATACAGGGAATTAATGCAAACTGAATGGTGCTATGCTCAAATATAGAATTAATGCCTGTTATTGTCTTTGCTTGTTGTAATAACTCAGGAAGCCTGACTGGAAAGGGACATCATTTATTGTTGAACACCAAAATAGAGCCACTACTTGTGGTGTACATATGCTAGTCCCCGCCTGGGACAGACAGTTCTGCAGATCCTTCCCTGGGTCTGTTTAATGGATATTTTCTAATCAACCTGTTTGGAAATATTACTGCACATTTCTGGAACAGGTGGGACTTGAACCCAGGCCATCTCATTCTGAGATGGAGATACTACCACTGTGCCACCAGACCTCTTCTGGGTCTGCTTTTCTTTTCAAAAAAAAAAACAGCCTGTTCAGATGTTATTATACACCTCTAGAGCAGGCAGAACTTTAACACATGGCTCTACAGTCCAGAGGTAGGGACACTACCACTGTATCACAAGCCCCTTTCTGGGTCTGCTTTTTTTCCCCCTCCAATCGACCTGTTCAGAAATGTTATGATGTCTTGAACCCACACCCGCTGACTGAGAGGTAGGGATACTACACCACAAGAGCCATAGGTCTGCTTGCCGGGTATGGAAGGTTTGAGTTATAAAGGAAGGCTGGATAGGCTGTGACTTTTTTCACTGAAGCATAGAAGGTTGAGAGGTGACCTGATAGAAGTTTATAAAATAATGAGAGGTACAGATAGAGTTAATGGGACAACAAGGTGCAGAGCTGGATGAACACAGCAGGCCAAGCAGCATCATAGGAGCAGAAAGGCTGACGTTTCGGGCCTAGATCCTTCATCAGAAATGGGGGAGGGGAAGGGAGTTCTGAAATAAATAGGGAGAGGGGGGAGGCGGATAGAAGATGGATAGAGGAGAAGATAGGTGGAGAGGAAACAGACAGGTCGAGGAGGCGGGGATGGAGCCAGTAAAGGTGAGTGTAGGTAGGGAGTTAGGGAGGGGATAGGTCAGTCCACGGAGGACGGACAGGTCAAGGGGACGGGATGAGGTTAGTAGGTAGGAGATGGGGGTGCGGCTTGAGGTGGGAGGAGGGGATAGGTGGGAGGAAGAACAGGTTAGGGAGGCGGGGATGAGCTGGGCTGGTTTTGGGATGCGGTAGGGGGAGGGGAGATTTTGAAGCTTGTGAAATCCACATTGATACCATTGGGCTACAGGGTTCCCAAGCGGAATATGAGTTGCTGTTCCTGCAACCTTCAGGTGGCATCGTTGAGGCACTGCAGGAGGCCCAGAATGGACATGTCGTCTGAGGAATGGGAGGGGGAGTTGAAATGGTTCGCGATTTCACAAGCTTCAAAATCTCCCCTCCCCCTACCGCATCCCAAAACCAGCCCAGCTCGTCCCTGCCTCCCTAACCTGTTCTTCCTCCCACCTATCCCCTCCTCCCACCTCAAGCCGCACCCCCATCTCCTACCTACTAACCTCATCCCGTCCCCTTGACCTGTCCGTCCTCCGTGGACTGACCTATCCCCTCCCTAACTCCCTACCTACACTCACCTTTACTGGCTCCATCCCCGCCTCCTCGACCTGTCTGTTTCCTCTCCACCTATCTTCTCCTCTATCCATCTTCTATCCGCCTCCCCCTCTCTTCCTATTTATTTCAGAACTCCCTTCCCTTCCCCCATTTCTGATGAAGGGTCTAGGCCCGAAACGTCAGCCTTTCTGCTCCTATGATGCTGCTTGGCCTGCTGTGTTCATCCAGCTCTGCACCTGTTGTCTCGGATTCTCCAGCATCTGCAGTTCCTACTATCTCTAGAGTTAATGGGAGTTGTCTTCTTCCCTAGGATGGGAGATTTCAAGACCAGGGGCACATTAAGGTGAGAGAAGAGAAGTTTAAAAAAGACATGAGGGGCAAATTTTTTACACAGATGGTGGTTTGCAAGTGGAATGAACTTCCTGAAGAAGTGGTAGATGTGGGTATAATTACAATGTTTAAAAGACATTTGGATAAGTACATGGATAGGAAGGGTTTGGAGGGATATGGGCCAGGAGCAGGCAGGTGGGACTAGTTTAGTTTGGGATTATGTTCAGCGTGGATTGGATGGACCAAAAGGTCTGTTTCCATGTTGTATGATTCTGTCTCCATAACCTGTTTGGAGATGTTATTACACACCTCTGGAGCAGGTGGGACTTAAATCGGGGCTTTTTGGCTCAGAGGTAAGGACATTTATGCTGTGTCACAAGACTTCTTCTAAGAGCATTCACATGGCTGAAGGCAAAGCTGCAAAAATGTATAAAGGGCTCAGGTGATGAGTTCCAGTTGGGCTATTGCCTGTTACTAAAGGAACTCATACTCAGAAAGCTCCACAAGGAGTTAATTAGTGATTCCCCATGGACCTTGTTGGGTTATCATACTTGTGAACATTTTAATCATTATCTATTTGGGAGAGACGAAGTGACAGTGGAGTCCAACTACAAACCATTTCAAAGCATCTTTCTCAAACTGCTTCTATCTGCTTCAAACCTCTGCAAAGAATATTGCTTTGTTTGTAGAGATATCATCTGGATGTGACGTACAAGTGAGGAAAATAGACACACATTGCCGACATGCTATCAAGAGCAACACTCCTAATGAAGAAAAATAGGAATGCTAAGAAAAGGTGTGAAATCTTCCAGATTCAACAAGCGGCAGAAGCTCTGACAGTTGTCAACCCAGTAGATCTGAAAGTCAAGCATCTGTACAATGAGTTGCAACTCTCCAAGTGCTGTACAAAGGAGTGATGAAAGGATAGACTGAAAGTGTCAAGACCGCACTTGTTGTTATTAGAAAGTATAGGGCATGCAGAGATGAGGTGATTGCATCTTGTACTAAGGCAACAGTCATTATCCCTAAGGAGATTAGAATAGAGATGCTGAAGTACATCCATGCAAACGATTGAAGAATTCAGACTAGTGTGAGGAAGGCACGAAAACCAACTCATAAGAAATAAGATTAAGGACCTCAGTAGCCAGTACAGTGTTTGTAACAAATACCTAGCTAAGAAAGGTAAAGAGGCACTCATGATGCATGACATCCCAGACGGATTATAGAGAAAATGTGGAATAGTCCTCTTTGCTTTTATAGAAACTATCTAATAACCATCAACTATTTTTCTGATGGCTGGGAATTAGACTCGTAGTCTAACAACTACCAGTGAGATTATAAAATGCCTGGAAGTACTTCAATTGTTACATTATTTTAGATTTTGTGATGGGTGACAATGGCCCACATTTATGAGTGAAGAATTCAGCTATTCCATAAAGATTTGGAAAATTCAAACACCATTGATCATCTCCACACTGTTTCCAATCACTTGTTTTGTTTCCAGCACCACCTTACTCACACCATCTGACATTCTTGGTCACCTGCAGAGACTTATGATTCGACACTCCACTGAGACCAGCTGTATGATCTTTTGA